ACCGCGGCGACCGCCCCGACGGGGAGCGGCGGGACCGGGTCCGGCGGGCGGTCCGGGTGTCCAGCCTGGTGGCACAGGAGGTACGGGAGGGGCGCGGGGGGTTTGGGGTGCATCCTGGCGGCGCAGGAAGTACGGGGAGGCCGAGGGGGGCCGGGGGTCCCGGGGTCCTGAGCAGGAGGGGAAAGGGGACCCATGATTTGTACTGCTGCACGTGGGCTCGGGGTCCGGGGGCCGTCCCCACGCCTGGATGGGGGACACGGAGCGGGGGGGCGGGGAGGGACCGGGGGTCGCGGCGGGCGGCTCTGGGGGTCACCGGGGATATCCGGGGGCTCTGGAGAGAATCTCCCCGTTGGGTGTACGGGATCCTGTGGTCCGTTCACCATGCGCGGGTGCAGCGTCTCGGGTGTGTCCCCATGCCGGGATGGAGCGGTGGGGACAGCGGTGGTCTCGGCACGGGGGGAGGGTCTGAGGGTCTCCCCCCGCGGGGGAAGCGGGGTCCCGCRGCCGCCTCACAGCACGCGGGCACCAGGGGCCGGGGGTGTTCCCCTGCCGGGATGGAGCGGGGCGGGGGAGCCGGGGATCGTGGCCGGGGTGTTTGGATGGGTTTCGTGGTCCCGGAATTTTCGGGGGGGGTCTCCCCCAGCAGCGGGAACAGGGACCCATAGTTCATCCTCCACGCGTGTATGCGGGGTCCCGTGGGTGTCCCCACGCCGGGATGGGAGACGCTGAGCAGGGGTGCAGGGGTACTGGGGGTCACAGCAGGCGGCTCTGAAGTGCTGCGGGGGGGGGGGTCTGGGGGACCGAGGAGGCCCAGAGTCTCCCCCTACTTGGGGAAGTGGGTCCCGTGGCTCGTGCTGCTGTAAGTGGGCGCGGGGTCCCGGGGGTACCCCCACACTGGGAGTGGAGGGGGAGGGCATTGGAGGTTGTGATGTGGAGCCCCCCACTKCCCCCTGGGGATTGGGGGCTATAACCCCCTCACGGGCCCCCCCTGCCCACCCGGTACCATGGCCAGGCCCGGTGCCGTGTCCAGCTGTGTCGTGGTGGCTGTGGTATGGCAAGGGGTGATGGCACATGGCTGGCGTGGTCTCTTGTTTTGTCCCAGGTGGTCCCCACCGTGTCCCAGGTGGTCTTTGTGGCCGTTCCTTTGCTGGTGGCCTGTGGCTTTGGGGTGGGTGTGGGTCAGTGCCAGCATCACTGGGTAGGGGTCGGAGCTGGGGCGGGCGCACCGCCCCCCAGGGACGTCACCCCATCCCACAGGGACGTCACCCTGTCACGGGGCTCGTCCCCCACCGTGCCACGGGTGCCTCTGGCAGTGGGTGCCACTGTCGCTGCCTGCCCAGGGTGGCCCCGTGTCCCCCGTGCCCATGTCGGGGGGTCCTGAGGATGCTGCGACGCCGCAGCTCAGCACCGTGAGTACCCCGAGTGCCATTCCCGGGGGGACAGTAGCGTTGGGGTTATAGGGGGGGTTCCCCAGCATCAGGGTGTCTGCACAATTGGGGTGTCCCCCGCGTTTGGATGTCCCCAACCTTCGGGTGTCCCCCATGCGAAGGTGTCTGTACTATTGGGGTGTCTCCTACATCAGGGTGGTCCCACAGTGGCCAGGTATCACCTAGCTGATGGCCAGTGCCACCCTGGTGGTCACCACATTGGGTGACACCTGTGAGGTGACAGGGAGGTCTTGGGGGGTCAGTGTCCATCTGGCTGGGGCTGTYCCCAGGGGTTCAGCGACAAGGTGGGTGTCAGTGTTCAGGTTTATGAGGTCTGGGGGTCTTAGACCCTGATGGGGCATTGGGTGGGTGCCGGGTCCTGTGTTGGGGCGGGTGTGGGGTACCTGGGCAGGTGTCAGGTACCTGCCAGGACAAGTGTTGGGTGCCCACGGGGGTGTCGGGGGTCCATGGCTGTCGGGTACCTGCGGTGCCGCTGCTGGGTGTGTGTGGCTGCTGGGTACCTGCTGGTGCAGGATTTGGGGATCTGTGGCTGTGGAGCACCTGCCRGGCAGGGGTTGGGGATCTGTGACTGTCAGGTAGCTGCCAGAGCAGGGGCGGGGGCCCTGCCGGGTGCTGGGGGGCCATTGCATCGGTGCTGGGCCRTCCCACCGTGCGGGCGCCGGCGGGGAAATGGGCTGGGGGCACTGGAGGGGATGTCGGTGCGCCGGGGGGTGCTAGGGGAGAAGTCCAGGTCTCAGGGGCGTAAATTGGGGTGTCAGGGGGGTGTCGGGGTCCCGGGGGTGCCGGGCCCCCCACTCTCCCGGCCCGGGGTATTTGGGGTGCGCCGTGGGCGCAGGTGTCTGGGTCACGGCAGGTGCGGCGCCGGGTGTCCCGGGGGGTGGGGGGTGTCGGTGTCACCGCAGGTGTCGGGGACGCGTCACCGGGGCGGGACGTGTCGCCGCGTGTTGCTGAACGTGTCACTGGCACCGCCGCCATCTGTGTCACCGTGACTGACGGGTGTCGGGGTGGGGGGGCACCGAGCCCGGAGGGGAATGGGATGTCGCTGCATATCGGCCCCATCCAGCCATCCTGACAATATGCTTTGCGGGGCGGGGGGCGGTCCTCAACCCCTCCTCATGGCACCCCCATGACCCTGAGACCTGTCTGGCACCGAGGGGCTGGGGACTGTCTCCATGGCTGGGGCTCATGGGGGACTCTGGGGGTCCCCGCTGTGTGTGGGGGGCTGGCATAGGGAAGGGGATGTCAGGACTGTCCTTTGCCCTGGGCTGGGCCCCCCCAGGGGCTGGCGTGGGTTGCACTGGGGGTGTTGACCAGGTGCTGGGGTGGGGGTGCATTTTGGGGAATTGGCAGATKTATCTGCCGGGGTGTATTTTGGAGGGCTGTGACTGAGTGGGGGTCCTGGTCACTGTTCCCCGCCATCCCCCCAGTTGCCTGCAGGGCCGGGGGTCCCCATTTGGGCATCACGTGGAGGGGGTGAGTCCAGGTGGGGTGTGGGTGCACCCCCGGCCCATGGAGGCCACGAGGTTCTTGGAAGGAGCCAGCGGTGCCCGGTGGTGAGGCTGGGGTCTGTCCCTGTAGACGGCAGGACCCCCCTGCCCCTGGGGCGTTCTGCGGGCCCCGGCTGCCCCCTGCCCCCGCCCCCCCCGTGCCGCGGGCCGGGATTTGTCCCACTTTGCCGCGGCAGCTGCGATAAATTTAGCGGCAGGAGCGGCTGGTGGCTGGAGCCGCCCCCCGTCCCCTCCGCCCCCGCTCACACCGCAGCCGCCCGGCACATCCACAGCCAAAAGGGCTTCGGGGATTCTGGGATCGGGGTCCCCCTCCAGGACCCCCCCGGGGATCCCCCCGGGCTCCCCCCTGCCATCTGAGGCGCTGGCGTCAGCGAGGCTCTGCCCCACGGTACCTCTCACCCCCCTCCCCGTGTCCCCAGAGGCCCCGTGCCCCCGTGTGACCCCACGGCACCTGTCACACCCCCGGGGGACATTCTTGGGGCATGTGGGGGGTGGTTGTTGGGGTGCAGCTTCCGAGGAAGGCGSTGGGAACCGGGACCGCCCTGCACACGCACCACGTGTGGCCTCGTCCCTACCGTCACACGGTGCGGGGGGACCCGGGTGGCAGCGGGAATCCCCCGTGTGGGGGCGGCGGCTGTGACGCAGGAGCCACCGCGTGTCCCAACGCTGTCATCTCATGTCATCGTGTGTCCCGGTGCTGTCATCGCGTGTCCCAACGCTGTCACCGTGTGTCCTGGTGCCGTCACTGTGTATCCTCGACACCATGTGTCGCCGTGTCTCCCAGCACCATCACCGTGTGTCCCAGTGCCAGGGTGCGTGTCCCTGGCGCTGTGTGCCCCTGCATGTCCCGGTGCCATCGCTGCGTGTCCCTGGCGCTGTGTGCCCCTGCATGTCCCGGTGCCATCGCTGCGTGTCCCTGGCGCTGTGTGCCCGTTACCGGGTGTCACTGCATGTCCCGGTGCCATCGCTGCGTGTCCCTGGCGCTGTGTGCCCGTTACCGCGTGTCACCGCATGTCCCGGTGCCATCACCGTGTGCTGCCAGCACCACGTGCCCCATCACCGTATGACTGTTCCCGCTGCCCCACGAGCCCACCGAGGTTGGTGGCCCCTGGGGACAGAGGTGATGGGTCCCCGTGTTCCAGGAGGGGCTGTGGCAGTGAGTGACATGTTTTGGCTCAGCCAGCAAGGCGGGCACCGCATCCCAGCAGGTGGACACTGCACAGGTCGGGGGACGTCCCTGGCGTGTCCCTGGCATGTCCCTGGCGTGTCCCTGGCGTGTGTGTGAACCGTGACACCCTGCTCATTGCCATTGGCTGGTGCTGTCTCCCCACACATCTGGAGCAGCTGTTGGTGCCGTTGGGGCGCTTGGGTGCCCTAAGGATGCCCAGGGGGAGCCAGTGACATGTCCCACCTCGTGCCACCTCACCCGCGGGCACCAGCAGCCACACCAGCGTGCCCGCTGTGTCACCGACCCACGCCGACCCGTCCGGCGCGTCACCGCGTGTCACCGTGTGCCGGGGGGGCTGGGGGTGATGGGGGGACCGGAGGGGGGCAGCCCTGGCTGTGGCCGTGGCGGCAGCAGCGGAGCAGCCTGGGAAAAATTTCCGCCCCAATAATTCCTGTCGGCTCTGGCGGAGCGTGGCCGGCGCGCGTCACGCCGGGGGTCCCTGCTGCCACCGAGGGTCCCCCCTGCCGCCGAGGGACCCCCAGACCGGGGGTTCCCGCTGCCATCGAGGGTCCCCGCTGCCGCCGGGGGTCTCGAGGCACGCAATGGGTGCGGGGCCGGGGCGGGGATGTCCCCGGCGCCCATGGGCTGGCGGGGGCTGACCCCCGCTGCCCCCACCGAGGATGCTGCCCGCGCTCCTGCAGCTGCTCCAGGAGTTGCCGGGTGCACCCCCCGCACAGCCCCGGCCCGGGCCCGCCCCCGGCCCCTGCCCCATGCCCGGGATCCCCCTCTGCTGTACCTGCCTGGGGCTCCGCCGCGATGGCACCGGGCACGGCCAGGAGAAGGTACCGATACCACCCCTACCTGCACCGCCGGGGGGGCCCGGCATGGGGGGGCGGGGGGTGCCGCATGGGGGGCACTGTGCCCACCCRTGACCTGGCGGGGGCTGTGGGAGCTCAGGCTGTGTCCTTGGCAATTGTTTGGGAGGGTTTGGAGGGTTACATAAAGCTCTGGCTCTGCATGACTGGGGACCCTCCTCGGCCCTCCCGGTGGTGCCCCCGGGGTTGGGAAGCCGATGGGGGTGGGGGATGACGGTGTCTTTCCCCCCTCCCCGTGATGGGCATGGAGGGGGCAAGGGGACCCCCAGGGTGTGAAGGAGCACCGTGATCCCCATAGGGCAGAGGGGAGGCTGTAACCCCTGTGGGGCACAGGATGGGGGGCCCGTGGACCACCCGTGTCCTCTCACCCTTTCCGTGGGGCTGTGCGTTATTATGGACCACCCCACAAGGACCCTCAAGAATGACCAGTACTTCCCAATATCCCTGAAGTTGTGCCTCCAGGATGTCCCGGTGTTCTTCATGGGGACTGGGAAGCATGGAGGGGTCTGTGCCTTCCAGATGGAAATGCCAGGGGGGTCCATGTCCCCTGACAGGGATGCTGGGGATGGCCACGGTTGGGGGACACCTGGGRCACAGGGCAGTGTTGTGTCTGTGCGTTTATGGTGGGAACTGCCCTGGTGGTATTTGTGGGGCAGGAGGGGGTTGTGAGGCAACTCTGTGGTGTGGGGGGACCTTGTCCCTCCTGTGCCCTCCAGCTGTTCCCCCGCCACTCCTGGTCACACACGGTGGGGTCCCTGCACCCTCTCATGGCCTGTGCTGGGGTCCCTCTGTACCCCGCAGGGTCACAGAACTGTTGATTTTGGGAAGGAGCTTTAAGACCATCGGGTCCAGTGTTGACCCARTGCAGCCAGGGCCACCCCTGACCCACATCCTCGCCTCTCCTCAGGCTGGGGCACTGAGCTCTGCAGCAGCACTGCTCCCCCTGCAATCCCCCCCATACCCATAAAACCATTGGGCCAACACGGCCAAAGCCCAGCATTGACCCACCGTGCCAAGGCCACCAAACCGTGACCCCAGGCACCACATGTACATGGGTTGGGGTCTGAGGGGCTAAATCCTGCAGGGTGGTGGGATGCAGGACTGACCCCTCTGTGCACCCCATGCCCTCAGGTGCTGTCACTGGGTGCAGATGTGCTCCCYGAGTACAAGCTGCAAGCGCCGCGCATCCACCGCTGGACCATCCTSCACTACAGCCCCTTCAAGGCAGTGTGGGACTGGCTGATCCTGCTGCTGGTCATCTACACGGCCATTTTCACGCCCTACTCGGCCGCCTTCCTGCTCAGTGACTCTGAGGAGGCCCAGCGCCACCACTGCGGCTACTCCTGCAGCCCACTCAACGTCGTGGACCTCATCGTGGACATCATGTTCATCATCGACATCCTCATCAACTTCCGCACCACCTACGTCAACTCCAACGAGGAGGTGGTCAGCCACCCTGCCAAGATCGCCATCCACTACTTCAAGGGCTGGTTCCTCATCGACATGGTGGCCGCCATCCCTTTCGACCTGCTCATCTTTGGCTCCGGTTCTGAGGAGGTGACACGGGGGACAGGGGATGTGGTGGCACCGGCTGGGCTGTGCTCCAGCTGGGCAGTGCWGGTTGTGTTTGGGGGTCCCACCTGTGCTCCCAGTCCTGGGGTGGATGGGTGCCATTCCTTGAGTGCCAGGTCCTGCTATGGGGGGTGCCTGGCGGTCCCACATGGGTCATGGTGGGCACCAGGGTGCTGTTCCCTGGGTACTTGGTCCTCCTGTGGGGGCTGCCTGGGGGTCCCACATACATCCCTGGGCCAGGACACCACCAGTGGTCCTGGTGACCTCCCTGAACCTCCCTCCCAGACCACTTCTGCTCTGGGTGGGGCTCTTGGGGGCACTGGGGTTGATCTGGGGAGAGGAGACAGGGCTTCATGGCACCTTCTGCCTTTCCAGGGATCTGTGGGGCTTCTCTGCCACCGCTGTCCTGGTGACCCCCCCTTTTCCTCCCTCCCAGACTCTTTTGCCCTGGGGGGCACCTGGGGCTGGGGCAGACTCCTGGAGGTGGCTGGCTTGGGGCAGGGACCCCCACACCCTTTTGGGGTTCTGAGGGTGTCTCTCCACCATCACATTCCTGCTTTTTCCCATCCCCCAGATAATGATGCTGGCAGGGCTGCTGGCGTGGAGAGAGAGGATGGGACACTCTGCGCCCGTCTGAGGCTGCCCGGGGTATCCCCACCTCCAGTGACCCTTTTCCTTGCTGTTCCCCCAGACCACGACGCTCATCGGGTTGCTGAAGACGGCGCGGCTGCTGCGGCTGGTGCGGGTGGCGCGGAAGCTGGACCGCTACTCGGAGTACGGCGCGGCCGTGCTCTTCCTCCTCATGTGCACCTTCGCGCTCATCGCCCACTGGCTGGCCTGCATCTGGTAYGCCATCGGCAACGTGGAGGGGCAGCGCACGGGCTGGCTGCACGCGCTGGGACAGCAGATCGGGAAGCCCCTCAACGGCAGCGACCCCCGCCGCGGGCCCTCCATCAAGGACAAGTACGTCACCGCCCTCTACTTCACCTTCAGCAGCCTCACCAGCGTCGGCTTTGGCAAYGTCTCTCCCAACACCAACTCCGAGAAGATCTTCTCCATCTGCGTCATGTTGATCGGATGTGAGTGACCGTGGGGTGTGAGCGCACCTGTGTGGGTGTGTTTGAGCACACCTGGGGGTGTGAGCACCTCCGTTGGTTGGCTGTGAGTGACTGGGGGACCACTTCTGAGTGTGTGGAAGCACGGGGGTGTGTTGTGTGTCTGAGGGGCTTTGGCAGTGTGTCTCACGCTCCAAGAGGATCTTCTCCACCTGTGTCACGTTGGGATGTGAGTGACTGTGGGGTGTGAGAGCACCTGTGCGTGTGCAAACCTGTGTGTGTGACACCTGTACCTGTGCCCTGCACATGGGGCTCGTTCACGTGGTGGGTGTAGGAGCAYCCCCAGGCTCAGTTTTGGGGCTGGCCCTGTTTGACACATTCACCGATGCTCCAGCGATTGGAGCCACCTTGGCTCATCCACAGGTGACACAGATGGGTGGGATGTGACTCTGCTCGAGGACAGGAGGCTCTGCAGAGGTATCTGGGGACAGATCTGTGTGCAGGTCAGCACGGTAAAGGGCTGAGTCCTGCCTATGGGTCACACCAGCCCCATGGAACACATAAGGCTGGGGYAGAGGGGCTGGAAACCCAGGAAAGGCCCTGGGGATGCTGGTGACAGCCTGGACATGAGCCCAGGTGTGCCCAGGGGGACAAGAGGCCGATGGCCTCTGGGCAGTGCCAGCCCCATCATGGGCACAGCCCCAGGGCAGGGATTGTCCCCCTGTGCTGGCACTGCTGAGGGACCACCTCAGATCCTGGGGGCAGCTCTGGGATTTCCTGACAAGAAAGACCTCGAGGGGCTGGAGCATGTCCAGGGAAGGGAATGGGGCTGGRGAARGGTCTGGAGCACCAGGAGCAGCTGAGGGAGCTGGGAAAGGGGCTCAGCCTGGAGGAAAGGAGGCTCMGGGGGGACCTCGTGGCTCTGCACAGCTCTCTGACAGGAGGGGGCAGCCAGGGCRGTTGGGCTCTGCTCCCAGGGAACAGGGACAGGAGGAGAGGGAACAACCTCAGGCTGGGCCAGGGGAGGCTCAGGGTGAATATTGGGAATATTACTCATGGAAAGGGCTGTCYAGTCCCAGCAGAGCTGCCCAGGAAGATAGTGAAGTCTCCATCCCCACAGAGATTTAAAATCTATGTGGATGTGACTCCTGGAGACATGGTCAATGGTGGCCTTGGCAGTCTGGGGGACAGATGGGCTCAGGGTTCAGAGAAGTCCCTTGATGACAGGGGTCCTGGTGACTCCTACCACCCCTGTGACTATGGCACCTCTCCATGACAATGGGGACCTCCATGACAGTGGAACTCTCACAGTTATGGGGATCTGGTGACAGAGGGAACCCTTGTGGTGTTGGGGACACTCCTGTGACAATGGGCACCCCAATGGTGATGGGGACACTCCTGTGGTGATGGGAGCCCCTGTGCTGATGGGGACCCGTATGACAAAGACTCTGTCATCATGGGTACCCTGCTGTGATAATGGGGACCTGTGACAATGGCAACACCATGACAGTGAGCACCCTCCATGTTGATGGGGACCTCAATGATGATGTGACCACTGTGACAGTGGGGATCCTCCATGACGATGAGTACCCCACACTGCAGCCCTGGCAGCACTGGGTGTTTTGGGGAGATTTGGGGGTGCAGAGCCTCCCTGACGTGCTCCCCAGCACTGGTGTRTGACAGCATCTTAGGGAACATCTCGGCTACCGCCTAGCACCGGCACTTGGGCACTTGGGGACATGGGCACCCTGCACCGTGGCGCAGGGGGTGGCAGTGGGGGTGTGGGGGTTTGGGGATTCAGGGCGCCCCTGACCCTGCTCCCCCCAGCTCTGATGTACGCCAGCATCTTTGGGAACGTCTCAGCCATCATCCAGCGCCTGTACTCCGGCACGGCGCGCTACCACACGCAGATGCTGCGGGTGCGCGAGTTCATCCGCTTCCACCAGATCCCCAACCCGCTGCGCCAGCGCCTCGAGGAGTACTTTCAGCATGCCTGGTCCTACACCAACGGCATCGACATGAACGCGGTGAGCCCCCCAGAACCCCCAAAACCTCTRTGGGACCCCTAAACCCCCCCGTGGCCCTCAGCCCCTGCTCCTCAGGGAATGCTTCCTGGTCCTACACCGGTGGCATCGACATGAACACGGTGACACCCCCTGGGACCCCTAAACCCTCCACGCCTTCTGACCCCCGGGACCCTCCAAAGCCCCATGTCCCCCTCTGATCCCCTGGTCCCCCCCAGGTGCTGAAGGGATTCCCCGAGTGCCTGCAGGCCGACATCTGCTTGCACCTGAACCGCAGCCTGCTGCAGAACTGTGCCCCGTTCCGGGGGGCCACCAAGGGCTGCCTGCGGGCACTGGCCATGAAGTTCAAGACCACACACGCGCCCCCCGGGGACACACTGGTGCACGCGGGGGACGTGCTCACCGCGCTCTACTTCATCTCCCGCGGCTCCATCGAAATCTTGCGCGGCGACGTCGTCGTTGCCATCCTGGGTGAGCCCCCAGACGTGGCCCCAGGGTCCCACAATGCCCCACGGTGCAGCCACTGCGTTTGGGGGTCCTGCAGTGTCCTGGGTGCCCGCAGGGGATCCCCCGGTGCCGCACAGCTGACCCCCCCCCACCTCCTGGAGACCCCACAGTGTTCCTAAAGGGATCCCCTCCATCCTTCAGTACCCCCAGCCCTAGGGACACCGCATGCTGTTGCGCCATCTCCCAGGGTGCCCCTAGTGCCCCATGGGGTGACCTCCTGCCTGCCAGGGTCTCTCCAGCCCTCAGTGCCCCCCAGAGTGACACTTCACATCCTGGGGATCCCCAGTGGCCCCCAGTGGACCCCTCGGTCCTGTGTGCAGCCTGAGTGTCCCCCTAGTGCCACCCCRACTCCCTGGGGATGCCAAGTGACCCCTGCATCTTCCAGAGCCCTTCCAACTGTGGGGTCACCTTGAGTGTCCCCGGGGGGGATCCCCCCAGCCCTGGTCGCACCCCAAATGCCCTGATATGACTCCCCCCTTCCCTCCCAAGGTACCCCCAGACCCAGGTATCCCCCCCCCCAGGTCAGAATGACTTTTGGGAGCAGCTGCGGGGGCGGCCGGGGCCGTGCAGGTTCCTACTGAGGCCCCGGGACCCCCCCAGTGACCCCCCTGCCCCCCAGGTAAGAACGACACGTTCGGGGAGCCGCTGCATCTGCACGCCCGGCCCGGGAAGTCAAGGGCGGATGTGCGGGCGCTCACCTACTGCGACCTGCACAAGATCCTGCGTGAGGACCTGCTCGAGGTGCTGGACATGTACCCCGAGTTCTCCGACCGCTTCTGGGGCACCCTGGAGATCACCTTCAACCTGCGCGACGTGAGGGGGGCCCGGGGGGGCATGGGGGTGTGCAAAGTAGGGGGTCCTGAACAAGCTGGGGGGATCTGGGAGGTCCTGAAAAAGTTGGGGGTTCTGAACAAGTAAGGGGGTTCAGAGCGATCCTGAGCAAGGGGATCCTGAGCAAGTTGGGGCATCCTGAGCAAAATGGGGTGGGGGTGTCATGAGCGTACTGGGAGTCTCGAGGAAGTTTGGGGAGTTCTGAGCACGGTCAGGGGTTCCAAACAGTCTTGAGGAGTTCTGAGCAAGCGGGGAGGGTCCTGAGAAAGGTTGGGGGGTTCTGTGCAATTTTGGGTGGGGGGTCCTGAGCCAGGTGGGAGAATCAAAGCACGCTGGGGGCTGTGAGCAAGAGGGGGGTGGGGAGTTGAGAAGCCTGGGGGATCCTGAGTAAGGGAGGCGGTGCTGAGAAAGTCGTGAGGTGCTGAGAGATCCGGGGGGTCCTTAGCAGGCTCTGGGGCTCCTGACAAAGCGGGGGAATCCCGCAGCCCTCAACTGTGCCCCCGTGTCCCCGCAGACCAACATGATCCCCGGCTCCCCGGGCAGTGACGAGCTGGATGGAGGCTTCTCCCGGCTCCGGCGCCGCAAGCTGTCCTTCCGCCGGCGCTCCGAGAAAGGTGGGGTGTCGGGGGGCTCGGGAGGGGCCGGGACCCCTGGGATTGAACCCAGGGYGTCAGTGACCCGGCCCTGACCCCGGGCTGTCCCCTGCAGACGCCCCCAGTCCCGGGGAGTCCCGGGCGCTTCGAGGGGAAGGCGGTGGAGGCCAGGCCCCCGGAGCCCCCCCCGGCCCGGCCGAGTGGGAGCCCCCCAGCCCCTCCAGCTGCGGCTCCAGCGATGAGGAGGAGCCCCCCGCACCGCCCCCGGGGGCCACGGCGCTGTCCCCGTTCCGCAGCGCCCCGCCGGCCCCCGCCGAGCCTGAGGAGCGCAAGGACAGTGACATGTGCAACCCTCTCTCAGGTGCGCCGGGGGCTCGGCGTGCTGTGGACTCCATTCCCCCACTCCTCGCTCGGGCCTCATAAGATGCCCCAAAAACCCCGCAGTCCCCTCCCCAGCCGTCCCCCAACCCCCATCCCCTGTCCAGCACCTCCTCTGTGCGCCCCTCAGTTGGCGTTGGGGGGTCCCCCATTTCTTCCCTCCCCACTCAGTGTCTCACAGACGCCCCCAAAACCCCAGCGTCCCCTCGCTGCCCCAGGCCTCGGGACCCCTCTCACTCCCTGCCCCCGCACCCCTGGGCCCCTTTCAGGTTGAAGTTTGGAATGGGATGCGGGTCCCCCACTGCTCTCCTCCTCAGGGTGCTACAACCCCCCAAAAACCTAGAACCTCCATCCTCAGCCCTCCCCAGCACCTGCTCCTTCACCCCCTCAGATGGGAATGGGGGTCTCTGGTTGGGTTGGGGCAGGGGTCCCAATCCTGCCCTCCCTGTTTAAGGCTGCACAGCTTCCCCAAAAGCCCCAGTATACCCTCCCCACCCCTCCTCCAGCCCCCTGAACCCCGCAACCTTCCCCCTCACTTCACCACCTCCCAAACCCGTTCACCCCCTCCTTTTCCAGGCGCCTTCTCGGGGGTCTCCAACATCTTCAGTTTTTGGGGTGACACCCGGGGCCGCCAGTACCAGGAGCTCCCCCGTTGTTCCCACGCAGCCTCCCCAAACCCTCCCCCGACCCTGACCCGCCGCCAGCGCTCCAACCTGGAGTCCCGCTTGGATCTGCTCCAAAAACAGATCAACAGGTAAATTTGGGGACCCCAGGTAGGACCTGAGRGGCGTTTATGCCAGAAGGACCTCATGGGAACCCCCCATTGCCAGAGGTGTCTGGGGAACCCTGAGCGGCGAGGGGAGGGGAGGAAGGGGGGATCCCCCACTCCAACCTGAGCCCCCGTTCCACCTGAGAGATGGGTTTGGGCAGGGGCAGGCGCTGGGGGTCCAGGGGGGCGGGTAGAGGGGTGGGGTTGGGGGTCTCATCTTGTCCTGGCCGCACTCCCACGTGGCTGTTCCAGGCTGGAATCCCGGCTGAGCTCGGACATCTCCTCCATCGTGCACCTGCTGCAGCGCCAGGTGCTGGTGCCCCCCGCCTACAGCACCGTGGCCTCCCCCCACCAGCCCCCCCCGGGGCCGCTGCCCCCCACTCTGCCTATCACCCCCATCCGGCCGCTCGCTCAGGTGAGGGGGCATCTGGTTTTGGGGATGTTCCGCCGTCAGACTCTGTGGGTTGGGGTTACCCCCGAGTCCCCCCCAATCCCGAGGTTGAGGGGCCACTTGCTTTGGGGGGCATCACTTCATCTTCCAGTTCATCGTGGGTTGAGGTCACCCTTGAGCCCCCTCCACRTATCGGGTACGCCCCTCTCACCCCCCACCACTGCTGTGGGTGGGCCCAGGGCAGTGGTTGGGGGGACACCATAAACCCCTGGTGCTGAGTGGGGGCCACCCTCTGGGGGTCTTGGTGCCGGGCGGGGGTTCCCCCGAGCTCCTGGTACTGGGTTGGGATCACCCCAACACCGATTCCCCGTTCCGCAGGTCCTGCGCCCCCCGCGTGCCCCGGACCCGCCGGACGTGGTGCTGCTGCTGGAGCCGCCCCCGCCGCGGCGCCGCTCCCTGCCCGGGGCGCTGCCGCCCCCCACGGGGACCCCCCCGGGGACCCCCCCGCTCCARAGACATTGCTCCGACCCCGGCAGCTAATGGGAGTGCCGGGGCGCGGTGGGACCCGCAAAGCCACGGGACCCCCGACCCCGGAATGCGGGACCCCCGGAGCCCTCAGACCCCAGGATATGGGACCCCCAGAGTCCTCGGACCCCGGCACGTGGGATCCCCAAAGCCCAGAACATGGGTTTCCCAGAGCCGCGGGACCCCCGACCCCGGAGTGTGGGACCCTGGAACCCCTGGACTCTGGCACGTGGGCCCCCTGGACCCGGCACCCCTGGATGCCATGACCCAGGAGCCCCGGAGTCACAGGATCCCTGACCCTGGGTCACGAGACCCCCAGAGCCCTGGAGCCGTGGGATCCCCAACCCCAGAATGTGGGACCCCCAGAGTCCTTGGACCCCCACACCCTGGGACCTGGGATCCCTGGGACACCCAGAGCCTGGCACGTGGGATCCCCAGAGCCGCAGGACCCCTGTCCCCAGCATGTGGGACCCCCAAGGCCCAGGACATGGGACATCCAGAGCCCTGGGACCCCCGACCCCGGAGCGTGGGGGCATAGAACTCCCAGACCCTGGGACCTGGGACCCCCAGAGCCCTCACCCCTGGGCCCTGGCCTGCTGGGGGGCTCTGGCTGCTGCGCCCCATGGACACTGGTGCCAGCAGCCAGCAGGGGGGCTTGGGGCCCCTGGGACCCCCCATTATCCCACCTCATCCTGGGGCCCCCTGCCCTGGGCTGTCGGACTGTGCTGCTTTTCCTCCTCCCCCGCGAGCCCCGGAGCGGCGTGGGGGGTGCACAGGTGTGTGTGTGCACAGGTGTGTGCACAGGTCCTGTCCCCAGGTCCTGTCCCCAGGACCTCACGTGTGTCAGGGGGGTCCAGCTGCGTCGGGACGCGTGTGTTGCCCCCCAATCCGTGTGTGTGTGTGTGTGTGTGTGTGTGTGTGTGTGTGTCCCTGCTGTGTCCTTGCCGTGTCCCCACCGTGTCCCCCCGCCGGGACCCCCCCACTCGCGTGTGAGCCCCGGCAGGGCCTGGTGGGTCCATGTGTGTTCCCCCCATGTGTTCCCATCCATGTCCCGGCTGAGGGGTCGGGAACCTCTGTGTGCCCCTCCCCGCCTGGCTGTGTGTCCCCCCAAGCCCCCCGGCCAATCCCCCCGCACAGCTGGGTGTCCCGTGGCGGTGTCACCCCACGCACAGGGAGGGGGACACGGGGGGCAAGGGGCTGCCACCGCCTGGCTGCCCCGTAGCGTGTGCTSTGTTTGTCCCATGTCACCCCTGCATGTCACCCCCGTAGGTGCCCCAAATAAACCGGACAGAGACCTCCCGGCTCTGTATGTCACCAGCTGGGGGCGGGGAGGGCAATGGCCTCGGACGTCACCGTGATTAAACATTGTGACAGCTGGGACATTGGGACAGGTCGGGATGTCCTGGTGGACACAGCACTGGCACAGAGGGGGACAGAGGGGGTGACATCCCCTTTACTGACACATGGCAGCGTGTGACTCTGTGTGACATGTGCCACAGCCCMATGTTCTGGTGGCACCAGTGACCCACATGGTGGCAGAAGGGTTGGCATCATCTTTACTGAGCCTGATGGGTGGCACGTGGTGCCATGTGGCACAGTGTGACATATCCCACACTCGTGTCGCAGTGTCCCACATAGTGCCAGCACCAGTGCTGGGTTCAGAGGAGGTGACGCCACCTTTGCTGGGCCTGGCACGTGGCAGCGTGTGACACGTCCCATGCCCCGGTGGCACCAGTGTCCCCGTGGTTCCGGGGTCACAGGAGGTGCCACTGGCTTTACTGTGCCTGTCCCACGGTGCATGGCCTGTCCCCCAGCTGTGTGTCCCTGTGTCCCTGGGTCACACCTGGCGGTAGGTGCCATTGTAGGTGAAGGGCTTGGGGTCGACGCAGGCGCCGGGACTGGGGGGGGTCCAGCGCCGGATCTCCAGGCGGGAGCAGGTCGGGGGGTCCAGTGGCCGCACGATGACCGGGGCWCGCGAGGCCACTGACGGGTCCTCGTTGAAGAAGTTGAAGGGGCGCAGGAAGAAGCCGACAGCATTGCCGGGGGTGGCGGTGTTGGGGATGTCCTCGGCATGGGGCACGTGCAGGAAGCCCACGGTCACCCAGGCCACCAGGTCCTGGCGGGGACACACCATGGTATCAGTGGGGGCCACGGCACTGTGGAATCCCYCACGGCGGAAGCTGGGGAGACCAGCGGGGGATGGGAAGCACCCCGGATCTGGGGAACCCCCGGAACTGGGCCCCCTCTGGAGATGGGAACCCCCGGGACCCTCAGCAGCCCCCAGCCCCGTGTGCCCGGTGTCACCTGGTCCTCGATGGTCTCGTTGTCACGGATGAAGCTCTCGAAGGTGACCGGGGGTTCCCAAGGGTTGTTCTGGCTGTAGATGCTGCTGCTGCTCGGCTCATTCTCGTGGCGCCGTGTCACAGCCAGGTGGTACCTGGGACAGGTGAGGGGTGGGGTCAGCCTGGGGGTGGGGGTGTCCCTGTCCCAGCCCTGCCCGGGTCCTCTGACTGTGCCACCTATGGCCAAGTCACGTCAGGGCGACACAGGGCTGGTGAGRGGCCGGGGGTCCCCAGCTTTGGGAGCTCCTCAGCTCCTGAGGGGTTCCCCAACTCCAGGGGRATTCCCCAGGTCCCCTGAGGAACGCTGCAGCTCTGGACGGGTTTCCTAACCYTGGAGGGGCCCCAGCTCTTGCAGGGCTCCCCAGTTCCAGGGATTCCTYAGCTCCCAAGAGATTCCCCAGCTCCTGGGGACTCTTCAGCTTCCAGCACCGAGGGCCCCCTCAGCTCTGGGGTGTCCTAAAATCCCCAGCTCCCAARGGGGAGTTCCCGGTTCTGGGGGTGCCCAGGGTCCCAAGGACCCACCCCAGCTCCAGGGCAGGATGGGCGGGTCCCAGCAGGGAGAGGTGCCACCACAGGAGGGTGTGACCAGGGGAAGGACGCCCTGCTCCCGCGGATAACGCTGCTGGCTCGGCGCGCAGCTGGCAATGCCGGAGTCCCCGTGCAGCCCCGTCCCCACGCCGCGGGACCCCGCCGTGCCCCACCTGGCCCAGGTGACCCCGCGCTCCTCWCGCCACCCGCGGGGCAGCACGGGCCCGGCGTGGGAGCTGAGCTGCAGGCGGAAGGTGCGGCGATGGCCCCAGCGGTTTCGCCGGCGCGGGTTGGAGAAGAGCAGGTACCGCGGCGCGGGGCGGCCCAGCGGCAGCGCGGCATCGCGCTCCCGGCGCCGCGGCTCCCGGTGCAGCCACGGCTGCACCACGCGCGCCCCCGCGCTCCAGGGGTTGGAGATGTTCTCGAAGCGAATGTCCATCGTCTCGAAGCTGTTCCCGGAGCCTGCGGGGACAGTGTCAGAGAAGGTGTGCGGCACAGACCGCCTGGCGTGAGGATGGGGCACCGCGGAGGTGGTGCCATGGAGGGGTTGGACGTTGTGGGGATGTCACCATGGATGACCATGCTGGGACCCCGTGGAGATGCCAACGTGGAGGGCTGGGACACCATGGAGATGCCACCACCACTAATGGGGGCTGAGATGCCCGGARATACTACTATGGATATGGCCTGGGAAATACCACCGTGGGGGACTGGGACTCCACAGAGATACCACCACGAGGGGCTGGTACCCCAGTCAGATGCCATCACTCATGGCGGGCTGGGATCCTGCAGAGATACCACCATGGAGGGTGATCATCATCTGAAACTTCGGGTGATGCCCAGGTTATACCACCCTTCCAGGAACAAGGTTCCCCAGCCCCTGGAACACACTGTGGGTCCAACCCCTCTCTCTCAGCACCCTCCCCATGGCCGGGGTGTGTCSGGAGCTGTCAGGGCCCTTCACCTGCGACATCCAGGTCCACCTTGTAGTGCACCAGGTGGGTGTGGATGTTGCCCAGGAGGTGGCTGTGCACTCGGCTGCCATAGCGCCGGCCCTCCGGCGTGTAGAAGGTGGCGTGGATGTAGCCGGTGGCATGGACCTTGGCCTCCAGGACGCCGTTGGGGTAGAGCAGGAAGTCCCAGATGTAGTCGTAGTTGTAGACGGTGGAGGTGGTCCTGAGCACCAGCGCCCGCCCCTCCAGCCCCGCGTAGAAGTGGAAGCCGCCCTGGAAGTCGCTGTCAAAGTGGCGGCGCAGGGGGACGCCCGTGGGCAGCTCGAAGACGCAGAGGGCGTTGGGGAAGCGCACGGGGCCGTCGGCGTCCAGGAGGTGGAAGGCGTCCAGGAAGGTGGCGGTCTCGGGGCAGTCCACGCCGCGCGCCAGCTCGTAGCTGGAGGCGCCCATGGCCCAGCCGGCGTCCATGTACTTGGTCTGCATGGCGGCCGGCGAGTGACCGCCGTAGAAGGCGATGGCCTCCTGCACGCTCAGCTCGTAGGCCACGCGCTCGCCGTCGAAGCGCACGTCGAAGAGCTGCAGGCCGGCGGAGGAGCGCAGCCGGAACGCCAGGCTCCAGCCGCCGTACTCCAGCCGGTTCCCGCGCAGCCGGTAGCGCCGGCCCTGCGGCTCGCACACCTTGGCGCCGTGCACCTCGGTGGGGGTCCCGCTGGCGAAGCGCCCGCGGGGCTCGTAGCTGGAGAACAACTGGCGGGCGGGGGGCTCGGGCAAGCGGGCCAGAGGCAGCGTCCCTCGCTCATGGCTCTCGGCCAGCTCCCGGACACTGCTGAAGTACCGCCCGTTGTACCAGAGCCGCTCCATGGCCCAGCGCCGCGGGTCGGGGTCCCCGTGGTCCAGCAGCACCTCCAGCCCCGCGGGGTGCAGGAAGAAGCCCTCCACGAAGCGCTGKATCACCAGCCACGTACGGCGCTCGCCGGGGCCCAGCCCGCGCGGGGCGATGTCGGAGAAGGTGAGGCAGCGCTYGGAGCAGTTCTGGAAGCCGAAGCCSGTGGCCTCCCGAAGCAGCGGCTCCAGMGGGGCCATGGCGGCCACCAGCGCGTTGTACAGCAGCTCGTAYTCCAGCCGCGTCATCGGCCGCGCGGAGAAGGGCACGGCGCGGCCCCCCTTGAAGCCCASCACACGGTAGGAGCTGGGGCGCGGCAGGGGCCCCACGGCCAGCTCGGTGATGTTGGGCTCCGCTTGCGCCCCGAAGAAGATGATGGCCCGAGCTTCGCGCCGCGGACGGGCCCCGCCGTGCTCCAGGAACCGCAGCGCCGGGCGCTTCTTGGGGGGCAGCAGCTCCACCAGGAACAACGAATTTTTGGCTAGGGGCCCCCCCTGGTTCGGGGAAAGCCCCAGTTCCGGCCGCTCCATCAGGAAGGTCCGCACAGCTCGGAGCTCCTCCGGGGACAGGTCAGCAAAGATGGACCCACGGTCCGAGGGATCCGTGGAGGGGCTGGAGAAGGCCACGGTGCCCAGCAGGGCCAGCGCCCAGGGGAGCCCCAGCAGCCACATCCTGGGGGACACAGGGAGAGGAGGATCAGCACTGGAGAGGGGATGGGGGAAAGCTGAGCACCCCTGCTCCAGCAGAGCCACGATCCTACCAAAACTGGGGCGACCACGGGGTCATCCCAGGTAAACCAGGAAGCCAAGGGCTGACCCCTGGCAAAACTGGTACCACTGCGAGGGGACCACCAGGAACACTGAGGACATCATGGGATGACCCCAGAAAAAACAGGGGTCCCCCAGTGAAACCAAAGACA